CCACCCCCAACCCGTGCTGACGATGCCGGTAGCCCTAGGAACCCAGGGAAGGCTCTTGCACCTGAGGACTCAGAAACTTGGGTCCCTAGCCTTCTTCCCTCCACACATTAGTTACATCCACCAGTAAGTTAAGTTTGCTGGGGCTCCCTCCCCCATTTCCACTCTTGTCAAACAGCGAAGTCAGGGTGGGCTGCTGGAAAAGCAGTCTGCTCCAGAGGCAGCCAAAGATGCCCCTTGCCAGTGCGGTGGTCGTTTCACAGGGCTCCTGTCGCTGCAGAGGCACAGGGAAGGCTGTGCACTGTGCATGGGTGGGCACTGGGCATGGGCAGTGTAGGCACTGGGTAGACTGCACGGGGCAGGCTGGGTACAGGGAAGGCTGGGCACGGGGCAGGCTGGGCACTGGGCAGGCTGGGCATGGAGCAGGTTGGGCACTGGGCACACGCAGGCTGGGCACTGGGCACTGGTGAGGCACTGGGCAGGTTGGGCATGGGCAGGCTGGTCACTGAGCAGGCTGGACATGGGCAGGCTGGACATGTGTAGGCTGAGCACTGGGCACGGGCCAGACTGAACACGGGCAGACTGTGCATGGAGCAGGATGAGCACTGGGCATGGTTAGGCCGGGCACCGGGAGGCTGGGCACAGGCAGGATGGGCACTGGGCACCGGGCAGGCTGGGAATGGGACAGGCTGTGCACTGGGCAGTCTGGGCATGGGCAGGCTGTTCATGGAACAGGATGGGCACTGGGCATGGGCAGGCTGGGCACAGGCAGGCAGGCACTGCTGAAGCTCCTCTCTCAGTGCCCGGCAGGACCTCGGGAGTGGGTCTGGAGCTGGGGAGTTGTGGACGATGGGGAGAGCCTAGCCGGACGCCCGGCCCGGGCAGCCCTGCGCCGCAGGGTCCCAGTGGGATGCGCCCCAGGCTGGGGCCCCTTTGGGTCTGAGCGCGCGCCCCCTCCAGCCGCCCTTCTCTAGGTGGACAGCTGGAATCTGGAGTCCAACCCTCCGGGTTTTCGGGGGGGGGGGCGGAGGGAATTCCTTCCCAGTGCTGGAGGCAACGTCTCCCCCCTCCGCCTTTTTTTTTCAAGCAATCGCCCGGGGGCTCTCCACCTTCGGGGTGCCCCACCGGCCGGGGGAAAGTGGACGCCCAGCCTCACCGCGCGAGGCGGGCCGTGGGGAGGGGTGTGGGGAGAGCTCTGGGGCTGGGGAGCCCCTGGAGCGGGGGGAGGGGGTAGGTGTAAGGGGGGTGATTTCTAGCCGGGCAGCCCCGAGCAAGGCGTTGTTCGGCCAAGGTGCAAACCCCTTCCCCCCTCCCTGCTGTCACAGGAATGGCATGGAGTCAGACCTGAGTCACCGGCGGGCCAGGGTCCCGGGCCCCTCCCCAGGCCCCTCCCCAGGCCCCTCCCCACCCACGGCCCCGGAGCCCCGCCCCCTCCGCCCCCTCCGCCCCCTCCATGCGGCCTGCCCCCACCCCCGCCCCGGCCCCCGCCCCCTCCATGCGGCCTGGCCCCACCCCCGCCCCGCCCCCTCCATCCGGCCTGGCCTCACCCCGGCCCGGCCCCGCCCCCTCCATGCGGCCTAGCCCCACCCCCGCCCCGCCCCCTTCATCCGGCCTGGCCCCACCCCCCCCGGCCCCGCCCCCTCCATGCGGCCTGGCCCCACCCTCGCCCCGGCCCCGCCCCCCTCCATGCGGCCTGGCCCCACCCCCGCCCCGCCCCCCTTCATCCGGCCTGGGCCCACCCCCGCCTCGGGCCCCGCCCCACCATCCAGCCGGGTCCGCCCCAGCCCCGCCCGCTTCTGTCCAGCGCCGGCCCGCCTCTTCCCACTCCGGCTACCTGCTACCTGTCTCCCGGCCCGTCCATCCTTCCCTGGTGCGCCCGGGCGCGCCTGGAAGGTGCTACACCACTCTATTTTTAGTCCACAGCGAGTGCCTGCTCCCATCTGCGGAGCTCAGAGCCTTTTACAAATGCTAATGAATGGAAAGGCTTGCTTCCCTCCCCCCTCTCTCTTCCCCCTCCTCCCCCCCCCCCCCCCCCCCCCGGCCGTCCCGCTGAGGAAATGAGACTTAAAGCAAGGGTGGGCGGTGGGCCCTGTCCCGCCTGATCCCAGCCTCGCCGACACCGTTTGTGGCTCCGAAGTCTCCCATTTCCTGCTGACAGCAGATTCTGTGTTAAAGTTCAGGGGTCAGGTGGGGTCTGTCCTCAGGAGGCCCAGAAACAGATGCCTCTGCTCAAATAGCCCTCCGCCCCCCCTCCGCCCCAGCTGCTCCTGCAGAAAACGTTACTGGAGCTCAGACAGCTCAGCCCCGCAGGCAGGGAGGAAGGGAGAGAGGCTTCTGGGCCGTTCATGTCCCCTTCACCATCAGGTAGGGCTTCTTGGAAGAGGTGGTACTGAGCCAGGACTGTGATTGAGGACTGGGCAGAAGAGATGAGGGCCCCTTGAGTACTGCCCGGCCCCGAGGCTGGAGGGCACAATGACTACCAAACCACGGGGTGGAGGAAAATGCAGCTCCAAATGCTGCAAGTGGAGAAGGGGCTGTGAAGCTGGTAAGGACCAAGGTAGGGGGTGTGCTGGTGGCTGGGAGGAGGGTGGGTTTGGAGGGCTGGTGGGGGTCGGGTGCAGGGCCCCGGGGGGGGGGGGGGGGGGGGGGGGGGGGGGGTTGGTGGTGGCTCTTGAAGTCATGGAAGTAGTAGATAATAAAAGTCTGGACCAGGTGTGGTGAAGAGCACAAGGTGGGAGTGGGAGTCAGAGACTAGAGATGCCCCTGCTTCTCCCACGCAGGGGAGGCCAACGTCTCCCCAGGACCACTGCCAGGCTCAACACACAGGTGCCACTGTCTTTCCTTTTGAGCTGGATGTGTGGAGCTCCTGCAGGCAGGCAGGCAAGCAAGCAAGCAAGCAAGCAAGCAGGAAGGCAGGCAGCAGGCAGGACCCACCCTCTGTCTCTACCATGGCAACCAGTGCGGCCTTCTGATTTTCTGAATGCTTGTGGAATGAATGGCCGGCTGATGGGATCTGGGTAAGCAAAGGAGTGGGCATCCTCTCCCAGCTGGGGGCAGCAGGTTGGTTGGGAGGGCCTCGGCCTCCTCACCTGGACCACCGAGGCCTTTGGGTGTACGAGGAAGCACGGCTCTGCTATAATCCCAGTGTGAGCAGTGCAGGAGCCTCTAGGCCTGTTTTAGGGCCCTGCTTGCCAATCAAAACTGTACAGCTGTACTTTGAGCACTGGAAATGGGTTTCTATTGGAGCAGGATTGTCCCCAAGGATGCCCCAAAAGGCAAACACAGAAGGATGTACCACCCCAGCCTTCATTGGTGGCATCCGTGGAGGTGATGGGCCTTTCGATCTATGTCCTCCCCTAGATATTCCACACTTTCTTTCACTGCCCCTGGCTTTCTCCAGTGATCATTCCAGGATCAAATGGCAGGAAAAGGAGTTCATACATTGGCTAAGAGGGTGGGTGGGGGCATTTTCCAATCAAGGCTCCAACCTTGGCTTTTCCATTCTACCTACTCTGTCTCTTAGACTTGTTAAACCTTGGTTTCCTCATCTATTGATTAGGTATACATTACAGTTCTTAAAGAGGTTTGTGCCTACTCACAAATTTAGAGTGATGTTCAGTCCAGGGCAAGCCCTGAATGAATGTTACTAATCATTAGCACTGCCCAAGAAGCCCCCAACCTAAATGAGGCAGAGATGGCCAGTGTCAGTCCCTGTACTAGGATCCTGTCAAGTCTTGTCTTCCTTTAACTCTTGGATACTTCAGAAGAGAACCAGCCCATGAAACCGCTCTACGGGGACAAGAAACTATCATTAAGAGAAGATGAAGTACTCCCGTGCAGAACTGGTGAAGGGCAGAATCATAGACTGCTCCAGCCAAGAGCCATCTCAGTCCATATCCCAGTTCCCACTCTTCCTTCCGTGTGCTTCCCATGAGAGGGAGGGTAGGCACTCAGGCCTCTCATCCCAGCCCCCTCTTGCTCATCACTGCTCAGCCGACCCTGGCCCTGCTCTCCCCTAATACCACCCTGAGCCCTTCCTGCCTTTCTCCCCTCTCCTCATCTGTGCACTACTATGATGAAGTACCTGGAGACAACTAACTCACAGCCTGGAGATCAGGTAGACCCACTGTGTTTTGAGTCTCTGGTGGAGGTTGCAAATAGCAATGGCAGGGAGCACAGGACAGAACAAATTGCTTACCTTGTAGCCAGGAAGCAGAAGAGGAAGGGGAAGGGGCCGAGATGGAGATCCCATAATCCCCTTCCACTTCACACTCCCAATTACCCAAGGACCTCCCACTAGGCCCCACCTGGCTAAAGGTATTTCTCTCTTGTGCCACCTTGGGGACCAAACCATCAGCACCTGAACCTTCCCTGGGATCATCCTGCAAAACCATAGTAGTATTAATACTTCTCACCAAATGGCCTCATGCCTGAACCCAAGCCATCACAAGTGGTTCAGCTGGAGACACAGAGCCTCTAGGAGACTGAGAGGAGGAGATTCACATGGGATGGGTAGACAGGAAGAGCTGGCTGGAAGGAAATCCCCAGGCAGGATTCCTGCTTCCAGGAAAATCTGCCTGACTGGACCAGGCTTCCTGGACTATTCTGGATAAAGTCAGCTAGTTAGGGATATTATTCAACACTACAAAATACCTTCCCAGACACACTAAGAGCAGTGGATTTGGAACTAGCCAGCTGCACTCAGAGGTTCCCAATATTGTTGGCAACACATAAAGCATCGTAGTCAAGGGTCAATGAAGCCTATGGCTTCCGCCCTCCACAGGGCTCGCTCAGGGAGTTGGCCCGGTCAGTTCAGGGTTGCAGAATTTCTTCACAGCCTGCTTGACCTGGTCTGGATCTCAGGAGGCTGAGATCTGAGGATTGTGGTTCAAAGCCAGCCTGAGCAGGAAAGTCAGTGAGACTTATCACCTCCAATTAACCAGCAAAAAGCCTGACGTAGAGACGTAGCTCAATTGGTAGAGCTCTAGCTTAAGGGACAGTGACCAGGACCTGAGTTCAAACCCCCCTACCAGCATGAAAAACAGAAAATAAAAATGGCCACAGAAACCATTTCCTCTTGTTTCTTTTTGTTCCTTTCTGCCCACCCCCTGCCCCACCCCCACAGACACCCTTCTGTCGAGAAGTTCTTAGTTCTTCCTATTTCTTTTTAATCAAGTTGACATCCTTTAGACCTAAGGAAATTCAGAACCCAGATGGGCTGCAAGACTCCAGACGAGAGCCAAAACAGAAAATAGATCCCTGACATCAGACAGCCCAGTCAAACCCCTTTTAATGCTTTAAAGGGATTCACAAATGAGTTCTGCTAAATGTAATCTATATCTAGTCTTGCCAAGGCCTGGGCTCCAGAAGAATATGGTGGGGAGTTTGCCCACCTGGATTTACATTCGGACCCGATCGCTTCATTTTCTATTAGATATAGAGGTAAGGTATTTTGCCTCTCGTGCCTCAGTTTCCACATTTGTGAGATGGGATAATACTAGCTGTTTCTTTGATTTGAAAACCAATCTGTGGAGTGTACTGAGAGGGCTCAGTGAGTCAGCCTGGTGTATCCTAGCTGCCACGATATGCTATTGCTGGGTGAACTCACCCTCTGTACGTGCTGACATCAGTACTCCAAGGTAAATTACCTTTTCTGTGTTTGTTTTTTTGTTGGTTGTGGGGCTTGAACTCAGGGCCTAGGACCTCTCCCTGAGCCTCTTTGTGTTCAAGACTAACACTCTACCACTTGAGCCACAGCTCCACTTCCAGCTTGTGAGTGGTTAATTGGAGATTGGAGTCTCATGGGGACTTTCCTGTCCAGGCTGGCTTTGAAGTACAATCATCAGATCTCAGTCTCCTGAGTAGCTAGGATTACAGGTGTGAGCCACCAGCACCCAGCATAAACTACCTTCATAAGGTAGTACTGGGGATTTGAATCCAAACTGATGGCTTGGGAACCTAGCTCAGGTAATGGCCTCGGCAGTGAGTGAATGGACTCTGCCTCTAGCTTGTCTTGTCAGCTTAGAAGTCAAGAAGCCCAGCATTCCCAACTAAGTTCTGTCTTAGCAAACACGCACTGTGCATCTCTGTGGTCGGTAAGCCCTGAGCGCTAGGGTCCAGATCCTCAGAAGCTCACAGAAGAGACAAGGAATGCAGGCCTGGATCTCAGGGCAGTACACAGCGAAGGACTTCACAAGTTCTAATCTCGGTGACAAGCGGACCCAATGGAA